TATATATATATATATTGGTAGCCTCTCCAAATTTGTGGAAGTATGGTTTGCTTAAATTTTGTCAAGTTAGTCTATTATTGTTATTTGGATCAATAATTAGAGTACTTCTTTTAACAGTTCATGCGTACCTCTTAATCATATAATAATATTCTGAATATTTAATAGTCTTAATGACATTAAAATTAGATGATCTTGAACTCATTGAATTCTTTTGATGCGATACATTTATTGTTACTATAAATTTGTTAAAAATAAATTTGAATGATCTACCAATTAATGAATAAGATTTTTGTTAGAAATCTAGATGAAGTTTTCAGTGATGTGTAAGTTTCTTCTATATTCATACATCAATGCATGTTCGTCCAAAAATAAGTCGAGCCTCACAAATTTTGTGCCGAAAAAATTAAAGTTTTAATAAAATTGGAAGTGCATTCGCTCATTGGACGTTAATATGATCTTCTTCGAAGGTTCGTGACTAGGTGATTCTTTTAATAATGATTTCATCATTCTCAAAAGTTGTCATAGCAACTAGATAAAAGTTATGAATAGTATTTCCTCCAAAGTCTTCAAAACTATTTGGAACTGATTTTATTTGACATTAGAATTGCCAAAAGTGAGTTTGATAGCATGTCTATGATAAATAATACATAAGGACATTTGTTAACAAGTCACACTGGTCTGCAACCCACATATATGCTTATGAGGCACATATATACATATATGTGGGGAGTGTAATTATTTATAATTAAGTAAATGCTAACTATTATATTTAAATTTTTTTAGAAAAACATTTAAAATTTTTAAAATGTTAACGGAAAAAAAATGAAGTTTTAAAAAGTTCAGTTTGTTTTATTTCTTTCTGCGAAAAATTAAAATTTTAATAAATTTGAAATTGCATTTGCTCATTGGACGTTAATATAATCTTCTTCGAAGGTTCGTGACTGAGTTGATTTTTTTTTTTAATAATAATTTCATCATTCTCAAAAGTTGTCATAGCAACTAGATAAAAGTTATGAATAGTATTTCCCCCAAAATCTTCAAAATTATATGAAACTGATTTTATTTGACGTTAGAATTGCCAAAAGTGAGTTCGAAATTTAAAAAAAAAGTCATGGGAGATACAAAAATGCTCGAATAGCATGTCTATGATAAATAATACATAAGTACCTTTGTTAACAAGTCACACTGGTCTGCAACCCACATATATGTCTTATGAGGCACATATCATATATACATATCTGTGAGGAGTGTAATTTTGAATAAAAATTTAAAATTATTTCTAATTAAGTAAATGCTAAGTGTTATATTTAAATTTTTTTAAAAAAACATTTAAAATTTTTAAAATTTTAACAAAAAAAATAAAGTTTTAAAAAGTTCAGTTTGTTTTATTTCTTTCTATTTATAAATACCACCATTTGGATAAAAAGAAAATTATTAATTTTCTTTTGAGGCTCTAGTTCTAAAGGTGTGAACTAATTTGATGAGTTTTATTAGATTGGTTAATGAACTTATCATTAAAGATAAAATTGTACCGAGGGTTTGGTTGGGGCAGTTGCAACTGATTGAAGAAGTTGTTGTGCGACAGTTGTAGTAGAAGTTGTTGCAGGGAAGCCGTTGTTAGTGAAGCTATGTGCTAGTTTGATTAGTTCAGTTGTGCATCAACTATGTTGCAGTTATTTATGAGATGAATATCGTATTGCACTTATATACATGTGTTTTTTTTTTAAGTTGACTATTTTAGAATTAACTCATACATAAAAACACAAGCAACTTTAGAAATTTTCAAGAATTCATGCGTCCAAAATATTACATCAAAAATTATACACCGCTTAATAATGAGTAATACAAAAATTAAAATTATAATGGCAACAAGTAATATTATCGAAATATTAATTTTAATAGCTAAATGGTCAAGCCTAAGGGAAAACTTTTTTTCCATGGATACTCCATGCATGGTCACTACTTGAAGTAGACTTCTCAAACTCATCAACTCATTTAAAAAAGTCACGGTCCTCTACTAATTTATTCCTTGGAAACTTATAAAATTTTCTCTAATAGCTCGCATCTCTTCGTGATGTAAATACACAATATTGTAATCCATAGTTACAATATATAACTCAACAAGTAGTAAGAGTCGTTAAACTCATATTCTTTGGTATTTCAAATTTTAATACATAAAATGAGATTCTATTAAAATTTCAATGACAAATTTACAATAAAAATTAATTAATAAAAATAATAATAATGCAGCAATAAAGTTAAGAAAATGTAGTCTTGGAGTAAGTAAAAATTAATGAATATTTTATCATTAAAAAAAAGCCAAATGAATTAAGAAATGGGATCTTGGTTGCATTTAACCAATTAATTCTAAACTCGTATATGTCACGAAAGCATATCAGCAAAAAGGCCCTCCAAAAGAACCGCTAAGGCCATCTGCTCAAAAATAAGAGAATCTAAGAGAATCTTGGTTGCCTTGATACCAGATATATGTCATAAATCATAGCAACATTAAGATCATTTAGAAGAACTCATAAGGTCATCTCTCTCATCATAGACATCCAAACAGACAAACAAAAAAAAACAAAAAACTTATAAAACCACTCCCATAGTTGCCAAAGAGAACATTGAAGTGGGATAAAATACGACATGCTCATAGGACGGAAAAAAAAACACAGAAGATTATGAAAGGATCCACATATAGAACGACATGCTCATTGAAAAAAAAGAGTCAACATAAAGAAATTAATAATTTTTTTCTCATATGATGACATACAATAATCACTCATCAACTAATTCATTTACAATCTGCTATCATAACTCAATTATATCTCCAACACCCTCTTCATCCTTCATGCAAGAGTCAATTATATCATAATCATTTTATGATATAGCCAGCCCCAAGAGACACTCATATGCTTCAGGAGGAATAACTGACTAATTTTTTATCAGCGTTATTAAAATCAATGTCATCATTGTAGGATGTTGATAAGCATAATTGTGAAGAATCATTGTTACAGTAGTAATCTTCACCTGCTTCCTGAAAGGATATGAAGTCATATCTTGAACAATAACCCTTTTTCTCAAATACCAAACATTCTTTTAATAACACCCATAAGAAAAATGTCGCTTGTCAAGCATTTCTTTTATCTCATGAACTACTTTGCTAACCCATTTAAAATCTGTGATGTGAAATCTCGTTTGACGATATGGCTTAAAAACCCCACATTGTAATAGATAACCAACACAAACCAGATAATATTTTTCTACGTAGAATTTCTTCAATATTCCATGTTAGAAACTAAGCTATAAAATTTTTTTGTTTACATAATAACCTTGAGGCAGCATTGAAAATTTGTAGTTGTTATTGCACACAACAAATGTGAAAGGTCTGACTATCATGTGCATTGTATTTTCATCTAGATATTATAAAAGTGAAACACATATTGAAATGACATGCAACCATAATTTTATTTATTTGTGAGCCCCAAAGCCCGATGTAAACAACCATTTCACTTCTAGATACGCATGCATCAAACTATGTTCCATCAATATCACTAATGTAATCATATAAGATATTTATATTAAATGAGTACATTTAAAAGATATTGTAAAATATGACAACCAAAATTTACCATAAAATATGACATATATCAGGGATTATACAAAATATATTTGAGTTTCCTTTGAAATGTTGAGTCTTTAGGGGTAATAATTATTTAAGACAAAGTAATTAAAGCATCCAAACCAACTAAAAAATACCTATTAATTATTTTAGATGAGTATTGGAATCACTCCATGGTTAACTTTACTGACTCATTATGTCATAAAATGTGGAGGGTTATAGCTAACTCCTGTCTCGAAGAAAAATTTATTGTTGCACACGAAATATGTTGTGAAATCTTATTCGACGAACCGAAAGTAACTCTCCAACTCATTTATCTTTGATATATGATGATGTCAAAAAAGGAGAAGCATAATGTGTGGAGGGTTATAGCTAACTTCTCTCTCTAGAAAAAAATTATTGTTGCAAATGAAATATGTTGTGAAATCCTATTCGACGAACCGAAAGTAACTCTCCAATTCATTTATCTTTGATTTATGATGACGTAAAAAAAGGAGAAGCACAATGTGTAAATTATAATATCCATATATCAAGCATACACCTAGTATGATAAATCTTTTGATGCTTCCAAGTTTTGCTTACGAGTGATATCATAGGTCATCGAATAAGATTAATAAGCCTCCAAGTTTTTCTTA